TTTTGTGCAGGGTCAACCTCCAAAATAGCCAACAAAAACAAACATCAAAGAACTTTGCCTGGTTTCATAACCATTCCCCTCTATTAACTATGCCTCGGTAAACCTGGAATGGATTTTCCTTTATGTTTTGAGTTGAGTGGTGGCACAACACTGGGAAATGCGTCTGAAATGCCTGACGACTTTATCGGCAACTTGTTTGTACGCTCAGTTAAAAGTAGCCGCACAAGAAATCCAGGCATTGTTCACCTTTGGATAGGCGGCTCTGGGAAAGCTTCACTTTGAATGAGCGTGTCTTTTTTTCCCTTTTTTTTTGGTCGCACCCTCTTTTTTTTTAGGCTCCCCTTTGGCACGCCTAGTGGTGCTTGCCACCTAGCTATCGGGGAGCAGTTTCGAAGCAATGATGCCGGCACCCATTCAATCTAGGCGAGACGTCCTGCGTGCATCTCTGCTCCTTGGGGAGCAGGGATGACGCAGTGGTGAGAGCGCTCGCCTCCCGCTGATGTGGCGCGGGTTCGATTCGGCCCGGTGCCATATGTGGGTCGAGTTTGTAGTTGGTTCTCGCGTTGTTCCATGGGTTTTTCTCCGGGTTCTCCAGGTTTCCTCCCTCCACAAAAGCTAACATCTCCATATTCCGATTCGATCAGGATAGAGGACCTATGTGAAAACCAGCTAAAGCTGATGTGGCTTCCTCTCTAAATATTGTCGTTTATTTATTATTCTCCCTTTATTTAATTAAGAGACAAACCCTGGACGGGAGTTCAATATAACCAGTAGGTCTGTGTGATGATTATCGTTTTCTTTTTTCTTTACTCGAGGAAACGAAAAAGTGGCAATTATGAGTGGGAGAATGTGGACGCTGCCTCTGACCTTTCAGAGAAGGATCGAATGTTGAGAGAAAAGGAAGCGGAGGTATTGAATTGGTTTGAAATCATTCCTTTCCATTCACTTCCAAGGAAGAGAATAATAATCCCACACAAAACAATTACAACTACGACAACGAGAATGCAAGAGTGTCCGCTACTAGGAATGGATGGGACTCTCATGTTAAAGGGACGGGGATTTTAGTTGGAAAAATTTGAATTAAACATTTAAGGGGGTCCAATCTGAACGTGGTTAAACTTTATTTGAACCTTACTGAAAAGATACATTCTATTGCAGTCGTGCAAGTAAGGGCTGTTTTGACTTCAACGAAATCATTTGTGATTGTCATCAAATGCCTTGATCTGTAAAGTAATTTTAAAGACATCCTACCAGACTTATCTACAACATTAACAGAGTATGACCCTAACAGATACCTTGATGGATAAAAAATTTGCGTTGAAAATCGTTGGTGTGCAACCCCGCGGGGGCTATTAGGTTGCCAAGTGTATTCATGTGATACCGTTGTTATTTCCTGGACATGTTTTAGATTCGCGTATCTCTACTTCTCTTTTTAGTTGCGCCGGATGCAAGAGATGATAGCTAATATGCAGAAAGAAATGGCAAAACAAAAACCTGGCGTTGTTGAGGAAAGGTTCTGAAACCTCCAAGACATTTTAATGTCTGTCCAACAGTTGGCTAGAATTTTGTGCACTCTAAAATTAATTCTAATTTATGGAACCTCGTCTGCAAATGATGAAGACTAAGGTATCTCCTAATAATGTGCTATAGCAGTCTTCATATATGCTACATATGGTCTCCATCGCAACCCTGGGTTGTTACGCGACGATTCTCACAGAGGAGCATTGCGTGATCCAAGTGATATCGTGGAAGAAGTCATTTGTGTTTCAATAAGTTCCATCTCCTCTTCTTCGTATGCTCGGCAGCTTTTGAAACGTCATAGGTGTCGTGTTAGGATTAAATAAAAATTTTGTAAAATTATAACCATTTACAATTTTGAACA